CGGGGCCGGCGGAGGCGGGAGGGGCGCCCCGCCTGCAGGGCCGGGGCCGTGTGCGAGAGCGGCCCTCGCCCCGGCCCCGCTGCCCGCRCACGCATGCACGGCGGCAGCCCGCCGCTTCCCCGCCCCGCAAGTTACTTGGGCGCTGCGGACACCCCCTGCCCCGCGCCRGCAGCGGGGCCGCCTCGCTTCTATTGTGATCCCCCACCGTCGCCCTGTGCGTACAAAGAGAACTCCGGTAGCATGTCCTGGTATTAGCCCCTAACTGTACTGCTGAGTATGAAAATAATCTACGGGATGTGAAAGGATTTTATTCTGCGCTGAGTTTTATCGTCTTTGGGTCTGAAATTCAGTAGTGGAACAGATAACACCAATACTGTGATTTAAACCGGCTTGAATATCCGTTTGCAAGGGTAAAGGACAGGAGGACAAGATCTAAAAAGAGTAGATACTGCATGAAAAATGAGTGAAATCATGCTCCCACTAGTGTCAGTGGCAAAAGTCCCACTGTTCAGTGGCTCTAGGCTGTCACCCTAGCAARCTGTTTCCAACTTCACATTTTCAAGCGCTGCGAAATAACGTTTACAGTCAGAGAGAAAACAATTGCCTTTTTTAGTTTACAATTCTTCCAGATTTAGCCTTCAAGCCCTATCCAATTACAACAAAACTGGTACACAACAGTGCAAGCCACGAGGAAACCTCTGTGTTGTATAGGTTTCGTTTCTATTTGATCTGACATGCTTCAGGGAGAAAATAAATGTAAATCCCACACTGCACAAAGATTACCTGAGTATTCAATAAAACATATTTTCAAACCAGGACAAAATACAGAAGTTACTACTTTGCAAATTTTTCAGCTTAGTCAAACACACTTTCATGCCTTCAGACCACAGAGGGTGTGAGCAGGACATCCAAGATCGCTCTGCTGCCAATGTCTTCACAATTCATCCAAAGAGCACCAAACCCATCAACAGACAGAAGCTGCCCCAGGAGGTATTTCCTCAGCCTTTGGAAAATGCCAGCTACAAAAAAAAAAAACAACTGGATTTACCAAGAAGTCAACCGGCAGCCAGCACAGGAGTCAGCACACAGGTTTCCCAGACAACAACTTTTCCTAATGAACAGGTATGCCCTGCGTGAGCAGCTGTTGCAGGATGGGTTTTGGCACCACATCCAGGGAAAAGGTTTTACAGTGATCTAGCGATTTCTGGGTATCCATGGAGGACTTGAAATTGTGTAGTCAGTGGCCCAGGTGACATCCACTTCGTTTTTGCTGTACTTGCCAATGTATGCATTTAGGAGTACCCAACACTTGCATTCCTCGGCAACAGCATCCCAGGCTGCCATCTGCACAATCGACAGGAAGCATACTTCCTCCTCCACTCTGCTGCTTGCTTAATTGCTAGTGTTGCTTCCCAATCCTGTAATCATCATTTTGATCTTGCACAATCTCAGCCAAATGATTCTCACCCAGTSCTCCATCTTGCTCAGACAATGGATAGCCAATTAGTCTGCAGTAAATATTTAGAGCCAATGAAGATATGGAGCTGGCAAACTAAAACGCTCACCTCGGCCCTCCTCATCAGTCTGGTTGGTTGTACAGCCAGGCAGTCACATAGCTAAAGAAACCTAACAAGGATTCCACAGTGWTATGGCTCCATGGAATCACTTATAGTAGCATGGGACTGTTGGTTTCATCCACAGTATAAGTACTTACTTTGTTTTTCACCCTTTGCAGGTGTCATTTTCCAGCCAGCATCCACAGCAGTGGGATAAGGAGGGTGCAACTATAAGAATATATGCACCACAACTTCCTCACAACTTCATTTATTGTCTTAAGTTTCCCTGTCTTTTAGCAGCTCCCTGAAAATGTGTTAGAGCCTCTGCTGGGTGTCAGCTCAGTGGWGGTTTTCAATTCAGCTGTATCGGCACAATGGATACCTCACCAGGAATCACATCCTTCTTTCATTTAGATTAACAATCTGTTCTGTGTAAATGCTTCCATTTTTCAGCAGTACAAATACAAAGAGTGTTAAAATAATTACCTACCTATGACAAATAATACTTTAAATGTCTTTATTGAAGACACTCAATCTAGTCATTTTCCCCTACCTTCTTTCATAAGGTCATAAAATAAACCAGTATGAAATGYTGAAAAGAAACACATATCATCTTAGTGATATTTAAAATGTATTTTCATTCCTCATTATTTGAAATAAAGTTGACAGGAAATGAAAAACCATTCCACTTATTTTTTCACAGAAGGGACAGTTTCTAACTAGTTCTAGGTTATGTGCTGAATAGTTATTTTAGTATCACATATGAGTACTAAACAGCCTATTTTTTCACTTAAGGAATTAAAATTTTGCTTTATAGGATTTCTGTAAGATTTCTGTGTGCACTGAGGATTCATTGGGAGGAAGAAACGTAACTAGATTACCCTCAGAAATAAGGSCTGCTCCATATAATTCAGGTCAGTAATGGGGGAAAGTGTGTAGAGGAGAAGGTCTATAAATAATGGGAAGCCTATCAGGACACAAGTCTAGTGAAACTCCATAATGATTGTGCAGTTAAACATTTCTTGGGACCAATTTCTGGGGTATACAAACTTTGCAAGTGCATGGAATAGAACCATGAAGTAGAATCACAAGATCCTTCATCTGAGTTACCAGCAGCAGGGAAAATAGGAGAGATGGGGATGGAGACCTTAGTGCAAGCAGCAAAAGACCTGTTTGGTCTATGGAACTAAGGAATAAGTGGTGTTAATCATATAATTAACACATTTTGAAAAGATAGATCTGCCCATGTCCTTTATTAACATGTCTCTGAATTTAACCCTGAAATTTACACAATATAGTTATTTTCGTCAACTGTGCTGCCACTCTGTGTTGTGAGTATGCTCCAGCAATCATTGATCATCTGTCCAAATTCTTCTGTTCAGCTGCCAGACAACCTGAGGTGCCTCACTTTGTCACTGGGTTGTTGTGCATCACTGGAGTGTGGCCATGCATCTCACGACAGAGGTGGACATCTTCCCATGTCGGGTGAAATGACTTCCTGGAAATAGCAAATATTTGAGGAAACACCCCTAAAAATGCCAACTCTCAATCAAAGCTCAAAGCCGTGTATGAAAACCAGTCAAATTAGTTCCACAAAGTCCATCAGAGGATTGCTATTTTTTAGGCATCCCTGTCTGTGGAAGATCGGAGCCATGGTTTATAGTTCTCTAAGAAGACTTCTAGACTTGCAAGGAATGTTAAGTCTTCAGAAAAGTCAGTGAAAAGGGCGATTCCATCTGAATGCCCTGTTTGCACCATATTGTCTTTCAGACCAATCAATCTCTCATCCTCAAGCAGAGCTGTCCCTAAGMAGAAGGTTACATCTGAGTGGACATAACACAGGCCTGGATTTTAGTCAGAATGATTTACTGTTTTCATAAGTGGTGAGAACACCACTTTTACAGTTTATGAATCTGATCATTACWGTTTTGCTTTTCTATCCAAGATTAGGTAATGCAGAGAATGTGTCTGTGTCTCAGCTAATACGGAGGAAACWTACCACATATTTCTAATGTGCCAAAAAAAGGATAAGTAATTTGATAGTTGCAGATCTAATTCCTTCTGAACATCAGTTTCCACTCTAATTTCCTCTCAGTTTAAAGGGTCAAAGCTGCGTGCTTGCCTTCCTCGTGTCTTTCAAGAACATGGTGATATCTCCAAGCAAGGGCATATGAAATCAGAATGACAGCATGACACATTTTAGGTCATCTGCGGGAGTCRTCTGCTAGAAGCAACCTGGCTCTTYACTGTACCTGTAGTGGTCCCCCCTCTAAGAATGGGGATKAATGTTTCCAGCAGGGGAACCATCACTTGTTCTCTTCAAGGAGAAACCTAGTGAGCTCCCCTATCTGGAAAGCTCCTGCACAGGCCTCATTCTGTTATGCTGTTGCAGCTTGTGRTCCTTATATTAACATTTCCTTCCTTTTTGCATGGATGTAACTGAGATGGGAGTTTTCAAAAAAGCAAAATAGTAGCAAAATAACAAAAGCAAAATAGAAGCACCAGGACCAAAACCAGAGTGCTTCGCTGAGAATGAGATATGTTTTAAAATAAATTTGCACTAGCCACTGAAAAGTGTCACAATCCCTACTCTGTGTGCTTTTTCTTAATAAGTAGAGTGCTTTGATAACTAGGAGCTTTAAAGGTGGTCAAAGAAAATACATCAGTGGAAAYATTTTTTCCAAAAAGGCAGATCCTTTGAGAAGAATACCTTTTGAAATCATGTCAATTCCATGAAAATGTTTTAAGAAAAGCATACAAATGTTCTGACAGCTTCAAAGCATCCCATTTTTATTTTTTCAGAGCAAAACATTTTAATTTCTAAATCACTATGGTTTCAATTTAAGTTAGCATAGTGTTAAAATACAGTGTAATGTAAATGAAAAGGTGCCACAATTTAACATTTCAATCAGTTTCATTTTTCTTGCACAAGTCTTGGGTTTTTTTTAAGGATTTCATTTTTTTTTTTTTTTCAAATTGCATTACTAATTAGAACAAGGACAAATCTCAAAAATATTCATAAAAGTGGAATTTTAACCTCTGAACAGTTTATGTCCTCCCTCGTACTTGTGGCATGCTAAACTACAGTAAGATAGCATAGCATAGAATCATATAATCATTTAAGTTGGAAAAGATTCTATGATCAGGTTAAACTAGATCTGCCAAGCCCACCATTAACCCATGTCCCCAAGTGCCACATCTACAACCTTTTAAATAGCTCCAGGGATGGTGACTTCAC